TGTGGTCTCCCCACACCGGGCTGCCCAATCTCATCAATAGAAAGAGGACTCCCGGTTTCGCCGGAGGCTACTTTCTTTTGCATAAGTATATCCCAGATGCTGCGCGGGACATACTTAAACATGAGCAATTCTTCTTCACGTACGTGGAATTCAAATTTAACTGAGTGTTCTGTATTTTATATGGTGGCCTACTTCCTCAAGGCTGGTGGAAATGTCTGGGGGGATATTTTGGGGGTCCCTGCATGGGACTGGGACAGGGGGAGGGCTTGGGGAAGGCTCTTGGACCAAAAACAGACCCTCACCGGACAGACCTCTGGTCTTCTGTGAGCCTTTTCCCCACCGGAGGAGGGGACCTTGGGCACATCTGAGGAGAGCTGGGCGTGTTCCCACCCTCTGAGCCTCTGAGCGTGACAACTTCTGCAGCCTGAGCCATAAAAGCTGGGGCTGCCCAGGGCCCCCATCCCAGCCTTTTATCACCATTAAAAAAAAAAAAAAAAAAAATCCCTCCTCTCCAGACCTCCAACCTCAGGCTTCATCATCATTATTATCTCATAGAACGCTCACTTAGGTGGCTCTGTGGACTTTTGTGAGGAAAGATCCAGAAGTCCATCTGGAAACATTCCTAATACCCAAACACAAGAAACTGTTCATTTTGCTATCTTAATAACCTAGAAGGTACCTACCCCAAATTTGCAGGTGGGGAAATGGAGGCACAGAGAGATTGAGTAACTTTCCGAGGGTCACACAGCACACCGGCAAAGCCGCTGCCCTGCAGAGCCGTGTGCCTTCCACTGTCCCGGGCTGCCTCTTGCAATTCCCTGGAAATCCCCAAATCTGACTAATTCCCTAGACATCCCCAGACTTGGCAGATTACTCCATGCTGAGATGGCTGGACCCACCCCGGCCTGGGCAAACTGCCCCCATTTCAGGCAAAATTACCCATAGAAACCTTGTGGTTTCCCGAGGTGGACGTGGCAGAGGTCAAGTCCATGCCTCCCTGCGCTCCGTGACCCTGCGCCGGCTACTGGACGGTTCTGCGCTGCCGTTTACCCGCCAGCAACACACAGGTAATAGCGGTCCTGACCTCGGAAGGTCACGGTGGGAACAGGGCCGGCTCTGCGGGCGTGTGACTCAGGGCTTTGCCCGGGCTCTGTGTTCAGGGGGACCCGTACTCCGTTTAATGCTCTGCTGTCGCCATATTGAAATCCTCACTATTTGAACGGGGGGCCCTCTGTCTTCATTTCTCACTGGGCTCGACAGATTATGTGGCTGGCCCTGTGTGGGAGGAAATGGGAAAACACAACCGGAAGCCATCTATCCCCTCATGTCAGCTTATTTGTGCTTTTGAATTTTAACTGTCTGTTGCTCAATAGGACTTATTTTCATTAGCTATGAAAAATAGCTTCAAAGTCAAGGCTACAACCCAAATTGCCAAAAACTACACATACCGAAGCAAAGCTCACTCTGAATAAATCATTTCTCCTCTCTCGACCTCAGTTTCCCCTGCTTCCTTGTAGGCCTGGCTACAGGCGGTCTCTGACCTGGATTTTTGTAGGTCAAACGGGTTTTAAACAGACCCTTACAAGTCTGTGAACAGCTTTCATTTGCCTGGACTGCCCTTCCTACTCTTGTCTATCTGGCAGCCTCCTACTTGAACTTCAAAGCCCCAGCTTCAATACCCCTTCCTCCATAATGTGTTAGGCAGAGACTTCAGCCCTCCCTGGGCCCCAGGCCCAGTCTTGCAGATGGGAGTGTCTGGTCCAGCCTCCATTCCCCCTAGATTGGGAGCTTCCTGAGGGCAGGCCTGGGAACTGAGTCCTCTGGAGCCCCAGCTTTGTTCAGCTCGAGACCAGGCAGAGACTGGAATCCGTAAGGGTTTACTTAATAAGTAAACAAGCACACGGGGAGGTAACCTCTAATTTCAGGGGGCTGGAATGGGCACAGGAGGCCTCTGGCTGGTGGCGAGGTGGGGCTTTCGTTACTGACAACCCAGCTAGGGAAGGGGTGGTGCCTCCCAGACTGGATCTGCCTGGACCCGCCTGGCCCAGCCCACAGTGGGTCCAGTGGGTTCAAGTCACAGGAAATCTACAGTCTGTGCCAAAGTCCCACCCTCTTCCTGGCAGTGCAGCAAATCTGGCCTCGTTTGCATCAGGCCCCTGGGAGCCCTAACGGGGAGGGAGCCAGCTGGGGAGCAACCCAGATCCCAGGGCCTCTCTCTTGGGACTGTCAGACCCCACCACGTACTGGGCTCCGCGCTGGGGCTTCCGCTAGGTCCCAAGACTCCTCCTGGGGTGGAGACAGACTAATGGGCAGACAACTATTGGTGGGCAGGCAATTAAGAGAGAGCGCAGGACTGGGTGGCGGTAGGGCCGTGTCAGATGGTTTTTAGGGAGTATCTGAGGAGGGAGCTTTAGAGCTAACATCCGGGTTATACGAGAGCTCCAGTGGCTTAAAGCTCAGGCGTGAGAGTGCAGGGATGGAAAGGGCCCGGAGGTGGGAGTGATTCGACTTGATCTCCATGTTTGCATAGGAGGAAACTGAGGCTCGCGAGTGAGCCAGGAGCCGGGGTCCCAACATAAACAGGAGAGGGTGGGATTGGAACCCGTGGCCCACTGAGTCCTAACCCTGCAGGGCCCCCTGGGGCCCCGCCCACGACCACGCCTACTCACCCGCCCACTAGAGGCTCCGCCCCGCGGCATGACCGGAAGTGAGCGGGGCCCCCAAGATGGCGCCCGAAACCCGGAAGTGAGCGCGGCTGAGGCGAAGCTCGGAGAGACGGCGGCGCCGCGGGCTCCGCGCCCGGCCGGACCCAGGACGGAGGTGAGGCGCGTCTGGCCCGACCCTCGCTCCGACTCCGCCGACCCCGCGCAGCCCGAGCCGCGCTCCCCGGCCCGCTCGGGCCCCGGCCTTTCCCCCCCCTCCCCCCCCCGCCCCGCGGCCGCCTGCGTTCTGGGCCGGGGGTTCCGGGGTTCCCGGGGTTCCCGGGCCGCGGGCGGAGGGAGCGCGGCGGCCTGTCCCCGCCCTCCTCGGAGACCCCCCCCCGACCCCGCCCTCTGCCGCGAGCCTTGACCCCGCCCTCCTAAGCGACCCCCCGACCCCGCCCTCCGCCGTAAGCCCCGTGCGCGCTCAGCTGTGAGCCCTGAAGTCGCCCTGCTCCGCGACCCCCGACCCTGTGCTGCTGTGTGACCCCCCTTCCCGACCCGCCTCCGCGTGAACCTTGACCCCATCCTCCGCGGCGACACACCAGCCTTTACTTCCCTCCCTCTTCGGTACCCCCGTCCCCACCCGTTGGTGATTCCCTTACCTCTCCCTACCGGGACCCCCATCCCGCGCTCTTTAGTGATCCCCAAACTTTACTTCTTCGGTGACCTTTGACCCTGCACTTCTCGGCGACCCTCCAGCACTGTGTGACCACCCCCTTCACAACCGCTTCTCCGTCATTCCCTGACTGCCCCTTTTTGTGACACCCCCCCCCCCCCCCGGTCTCCGCGACCCCAGCCCCTTCCTCCCTGGGTGCCTCCTGACCTCTCCTATGTTGGTGACCCCTGACCCCGGGCTCCTTGGCGCTTCCTGCCCTCTCCTGCTTTCCTAGCGGCTCTGTCCAGACACTCCTGTTGCCCACGGCCTGGGGATGGGGGCCTTCCTGGGGTCGGCTGGCTGCGCCCAGAGTGTTGGGTGGGAGTCTTGCCTCTGCTGGCATCGGAACCTGGCCTCCGAGGACAGGAGGAAGGGAGGAGGTGGGCAGAGAGCTGGAGGTGGGCGGGTGCGAAAGGGGATGCCCGCGGTGGGTCCTGCCCATGCCGGCCTGCTCCCCAGCACCCAGGTCCCTGGAGCAGGAGGCTGGGGGACCCAGAGTCAGGGAGTAGGGGTGTGGACGGCCACGGAGGAGCTCCTGGGAGGCGGTGGCTCCCTGAATAATGTGGTTAATGGTCTGAAGGGGAAGAAAATCCGAGTCTGTAAGATGTGTGTCTGGGGCACCCCTGGCTTCTGCTTCCCAGCACGGACATCGGTCCCGCCTGCCCTGAAGGACTTTCCTGCCTGGCCGCTGCCTGGCCGCGCTAGCTTGGCGCCATGTGTTTGCACCCCACACAGGAGGGTGCCTGGCCTGGAAGCCGACCAAGGTGAAGCTTCATCTGGCAGTTTGGGGGGTAGTGAGTGTTTCATGGCATGGCTAGGGGGGCTGGTATAGGACAGGCTCCAGCTGGGAGCTGCTTACCTGCCGCCGGGCACGGCGGATGTTTGGATCTTCCCCGTAGACGCTTAGGAAAGGCTGAAGGAAGATGGGGCTCGGGCCCCGGGGACTGCAGACCCAGCAGGGAGGACAGATGGCCGCCTGTCCAAGGCACCGTACTCCAGAGACTGTCTGAGGCCAGTCTGGGTTGGGATGTGAGGCCTGGCCCTTCCTCCAGGGCTGGACCTGACCCTGCGCCTCTCTTTTCCCTCCCTGCCTGGCTGTGGGGGGCGCTGTGCAGTCGTGGACCCTTGTGAGCACAGCCGCTGGGTGCTCCTCTCTTGGACGCTGAGACCAGGGCCCACTGGCCAGCCTGTCTGTGTTCTTTCTTCCCAAGCACCCTGGATTTTCCCAGGGGAGGCCCCAGAGGTGGGTGAGTGCAGCCCAGAGCCGTGTGCTTAGGGCCACGGTCCTCTTAGGACATCCATTTCCAGAGGCTTCATAGAGAATGCTGAATATGAAGTCTGGGCCACTGGGTGGGTGGGCCAGAGAAGGCAGGATAGGTGAATGGCCCCAGGGTCCCACCTGGTCGGGAAGATGCCGGCAGGTATGCAGAAGGCCCCCAAGCAGCCTGGCAGATGCAAGACCGCCCGCCCAGGGACAAGCCGCTGTGGGGACCGAGGGGAAGGCGTTCTGTGATTTCAGACGGGGGAGGGCGCTTTTGATTAGCTCGGAGTATCTGAGCAGACACCTATTCACACCTGCCCGGAGCCAGCATCTGCCTGGTGTGTGTGTGTGTGTGTGTGTGTGTGTGTGTGTGTGTACGCACGCGTGTCTTAGAAGACGGGTGAGGGGACCAGATTTCCAGGAGAGCCTGTGGGACTGAGTGCAGCAGGGGGCCAGCCACAAGTGTGCAGGCAGCAGCCCAGGGCCAGTGTTCTCCAGCCGCGTGACCTTGGGCCAGTCACTGCCCTGATCTGGGGGGACACCGAGGCTGGATTCCCGGACCCCGCAGGCCTGGCCCCCACTGGGGCGAGACCAGCTGAGGCTGGCCCAGCTCAGTTCTAGCAAAGTCCCTGAGGCCCCTCAGCAGGGGCCAGGCCGGAAACGCTGACCGGGTGAGTTCGGCCGGGAATAAAGAGGCAACTGTGTCCAGTCCCCAGAGGCCACCTCCCTCCCAGGATGGCCTCCTCTGGGTAACAGGCCTTTATGGCCGCGGGTGGGGGTGGGGGGACCTGCTTGTTCCTCTGCTGGTGGGTAACGTAACCTCAAGTACAAACACTGTGAGGCTGATGTGCAGAGTGGGGGGCACCCTCCAAGGTGCCAGCAGCGTCCAGGGTGTGCACGTGTGTGTTGGGTGTGGTGTGTGCACCGGCATGGTCCAGGGTGTGCACGTGTGTGCGTGTGCGCGCCCACCTGTGAGGGTGCTGGGAGTGTGTGCAGCATGTGTCCTGTGACCCGTGCGTGCCTCTCCTGCGTGCCCAGTTGTGTACATGTGCCCACGTGAGTGTGCTCTCAGTGCTGCGTGCGTTTGCCTGCACGCGTGTGTGTTTTGTATGTACATGAGACAGCGTGCGTCACGGTCGTGGGATTTGTTAGGGGCAGGCTTGGAGTGTCACAGCCAGGGTGTAGCAGGCCTCCCGGGGCAGCCAGAAGGCACAGTCACCCGGACCATCCCAGGCCTGGCCTTACTCCTGCTCACCTGCCGTCCGCCCTGCTCTGCCCGTGCCCAAGTGCAGGCCCGAGTCCTGGTGTCCATGACGTGCCTCGCGAGTGTGGGTCCCCTCTCCCCTGAGTGGGGTCCCTTGGAGCGGCCCTTTCCCCCCGCTCCTGCTGTGCAAATTTCCTTCATCTTCTTGCCATTGGGGACAGCTGGCCCGCAGGTCCCCTGCTTCCCTTTCTGCCAGGCGGATGACTCAGGCGAGGGCTGAGACCGTGATTTCTGATGCTCAGGCTCTGTCACCTGCTGCTCGGTCTTGCCAGGCCCCGAGGGGAGGCAGAGATAAGGCTTGTCATTTGTTTATGTATCGCCCCGCGGAAGGACCCTGAACATGCGACGCTCAGGGAGGGAACCCGACACGAGAGGCCACACGGGGTGTGAGTCCATGTGTGTGAAAAAACGTCCAGAGCAGGCTCATCCAGGGACAGGAAGGGCCTCGAAGGGGCCGGGGGCTGGGGAGGAGGTGGGGGTGAGGGGGACAGGGTTTCCTTTGGCTGATGGAATGTTCTGGCACTCGATAGAGGTGATGGTTGCACAACTCTGTGAATGTACTGAAAACCACTGAATTGTATACTGTAAATATGTGAAGTATATGGTTTGTGAACTGTGCCTTCACAGAACAAAACAGCAAGGCCTGTCCTTGGTCAGATGCCCATGTGCTGTGGCCTGGGGGTGAGCGGGTGTCGGGGAGCGGGCCCCTTCCAGCCCCACGAGGAAGACGGGAAGAGACATCTCCTCACTGTATGAAGGGTGGGAGCCGCCCCTGAACCCCAGCGCCGTCTGGGACGTGCAGATGGACGTGGTGTGCAATGTGCATCACGTAAGAAGTCCTGGGGGTGTTTGGACCTCTGGTGTAGGGGTGCCTTGGGCGGGAGGCCCCGGGGGAGCTCCCCCATAAAGCCTGGGCCCTGTAGGAGATAGGGGAAGGGGTGCTGGACTGCGCTGCCCTGGCTGTCCTTCGACGGCCCTGATTGCCCGGGGGACCTCCCTGCCGGGAGGCCAGGTGACAGTGGGGAGCGTAGTGACCCCAGGGAGTTGGTCCCATCTAAAGTCATCTGTGGACTCTAACTCCTCCTGGGCCATCTGCAGGGGGTGCCCTCCAGCTGTGTGGTCCTCAGCACGGTGGGCGGGGACATGGCCCAGGGAGGCCCACAAAGCACCTGTCCTGTGGGGGGGGGGGGGCGGGGGGGAAGGAGTTTGGCCCCTGCTGTGTGATGGCAGATTTGGGCTTTAGTCTGACCCTGGGGGCTCGTGGTCTGTGTGCGTCTCAGGTGCCCCTGTGGAACCGGGTACCTGCTGGCCCTTCCCTGGGACTCCTGTCCCTAGAGCCCCATGGCAAGGGAGTCACCAGGTCTGGTGGCACTGAGAGCAGACACCCAGACTCCCCATTGGGACTGGCCTCTGTCTCCTTTGCTCGAAGGTCTGCTGCATTTCAAAAGCGACCCGTGCCACACTCGGGAGGCAGGTCACCTGCATTTCCTTGTGGTCACAACCCAGAGGGTCAGAGGCCGCTGACACAGGATATGGGGACGGCGGGAGGAAGGGAGCGGGTCTGCAGAGAGCAGTAAACCTTTATGGCACTGACTCACCAGGTGGGGCAGAAATCCCTGCCCTCAGAGTGGCGTCTTCCTCTGCACGTCGTAAGGTATGGTACGTAAGGTACGTTCAGGAAAGGCTCCCCCCCCCCCCCCGCCCCGACAGCTGCACGTGTGAGCGGCAGGTGTGGACGTGGGAAGGTGGACCCGTTGACCTGCTCAAACCCTTGCCTCCCGCTGGGGTGCCGTGGGCATCCGAATCTGTGTCTGGGTTCGCGCATGGTCTGCACGGGGCCAGAGCTCAGCAGCGTTTCTGGAAGGTCCTCCTCGGCCACTTGCCCTGAAAGCTGTGAGGTGGGGGTGTAGCCACCCCCCCCCCCCCCACGCCCCCGCCTAGTCCCAGGGTGGTTCCGAGCTTGGCACTTGTGGCCCAAGGCATCGGAGCCTCTCCTGGCATCGTTCAGGCATGTGGGAGCTGCCTGGCCCTGTAGGTGCTCCGCCACCTGAGGGTGGGGCTCAGAGTGAATGAGCCCCTGGGTCCGTGTCAGGGACCGTCAGGGACAGGGGCGAATGAGCCCCCGGGTCTGTGTTGGGGACCATCAGGGACAGCCTTGCAGAGGGGTTCTGCATTGTCACAGGGGGACTGGGTGGTCCCACCCCCAGCACTGTGGGAACCTGCAGGAAGTCACCCCACATAAGGAAGATGTGACATGAAGGCTGGCTTGCCGACTTTGAGAAATCAGGGGCTGCCACCCCCAAATCTAGGTCTGCTGCGTCTCTCAAAGAACCAGCCCATCTGGAAGCCCGGGCCACATTCCTGCATAGTGTAGGCTGTGCTGTCCCAGCCGCCCCCCGCCCCCCCTACCCGGCTCCTCTGAGGACTCCGGGAGGCTTCCCCGAGAAGGGGTTGCGGGGGGCTTCTGTTCTCCACAAACTGTTATTATGGGGGACACTGGGCCAGCCTGGCTGCCCGCTGGTCCGTTATGAGCTATGCTCTACTCGACTTGTGTGGTTGGCTCAGAAATGGTCCCAGAGACCAGGTCCCTCGAGGCCCCTGAGGTGGGGGTGACCCTGGAATCCCCAGGGACCCAGCATTCTCCCGAGGTCCTCAAAAGCAGAGCACCTTTAGGGGCGCCTGGCTGGCTCACTCGGTTAAGCACCCGACTCTCGGCTTCGGCTCAGGCCACGATCTCACGGTTCGTGGGTTTGAGCCTTGTGTTGGGCTCTGTGCTGACGGTGGAGCCTGCTTGGGATTCTCTCTCTCCCTCTGTCTCTGCCCCTCCCCCCCAAAAAAGGCAGAAAACCTTCTCACTGGAGGCTGAAGGGGAGTGAGAGGCTCGAACTTGAGGGAGGCTTCCATGTGCTGCTGCCGGCGACAGGGACGCGGGCCTGTGTCCTGTGGACGCTGCGTCTGCCCGCGAGAGGGACCCAGCACGAAGCCCGGGCCTTGTGACGCCCAGAGTTTGGGGTTCCTGCTGCTGCGATGTGGGGGCCTCTGCCGTCTTCCCAGAGGCGGGCACGGCCCGGTGCCGGCGTTTGCTCGGGACGGGGCGTGTGAGACCGCGTGGCGCCACCGCCGTCCCCGGGACCGGCCCGAGCCCGGAGGAGTCCTCCCTCTCTCGCGGGACACCATTTGCTCTTTGGGTTTGGGTGAAGGTCCCTGGCGATGGTCTTGCACCAGGCTGGCCCGCGGGAGCCTGAGGAGGGTGTGGACGGGTCAGGCCGCACACCTGGGACTGGCGTGACCCCGCGTGGGCAGCGGTAGCCCTGTCCTGCTCAGGGTTCCCTGGGGGCTCAGGAGACACCTGGCATGCCAGCCGGCCTGAAGCAAGCCCGACACTAGCAGGGGTGACAGCAAGCACCGGGACGGACAGACCGCGCGGGGCACGTCGCTGTCAAGGGACCGGGACGTCGGGCCGGTGGGCCCTAAAACCTGCTCGCGGGAAGAAGACATGGGTGTCAGAGGAGACCACAAACTCAGTGTGCACGATGCCTCTCAAAAACCGCGAGCAAGCGCAGACCTGAAGAGGCACTTCCCAGAAGAAGCCACGTGGGGGGTGCTCAGCGCCTGTAGGAGGTGTTGGTGTCGGGGACAGAGGTTTGAAGGCCTACCACCCTTAAGCGGTGGGCTGGGAGCGGCGCTCCAGTGGCGGGAGCGGGCTGGCCGGCGCAACAGCGGTCCCTGCCCGTGGGCAGGTGGGTCGGTGCAGCACCGTGGGAAACCATTGGACCACACCCGGAAGTGAGCCCCCTCGGGCTCAGGGGGCCCCTCCCGAGACCCAGACTCCAGTGTCCTCAGCCATGACCGAGGAGGCTCCCTGTTCCGGTCCCCGTTCCCCTCTGGGCCCTTGGATGGGTTGCGCAGGGCTGTGTGCCCCCAAAGCTGTGCCTGTGGGGCTGGCAGAGCACCCTCCCTGGCCTCCCCGGGGCTGCCGTCAACCCGGCGTCTGTCACAGGTTGCTTTATAAAGCGCCCGCCCCGCCGCGGGGCTGTCCTTCCACCCTGACCTTCGTGGGCCGTCACAGGCGCTGCTGCTGACTTGGCCAGGCTACCCTGGACCCACGGGCTGGGGTCCGTGGG